TCTTATTCTGAGAACTGTCCCATTAATTTCCCAATTTATTAATTGGGTTATTTGTTCTTTTGGTGTCTAATTTTTAGAGTTCTTTCTATAATCTTGGTATTAGTCCTTTATCTGAATAGCTGGCAAAGATTTTCTTCCATTCTGGAGGTCATCTCTTCATTCTGGTAATTGTTTCCTTTGATGTGCAGACACTTTCTAATTTGATGCAATCCCATTTGTCAATTATTGACCTTACTTTCTGGGCAATTAGAGTCCTATTCAGAAATAATTGTGTATTCCTATATTTCAAGTGTTTTCCCTGTTTTTTTCCTGCAATAGTTTCAAAGTTACAGGTCAATGGATCCTTGATCCATTTTGAATTGATAAATCAAAATAAAACTGAAATTCCATCTCACCACAGTCAGAATGGCGATCATTAAGAAAACAAACAAGTGTTGGCCAAGGATACTGGGGGGAAAGGAACCCTATACACTGTTGGTGAGAATGTACACTACTGTAGTGATCGTATGGAGGTTTATCAAAAAAACTAAAAATTGGGCTGCCTTATGACCCTGATATGCCACTCTTAGACATATATCTGAAGGAGTATAAATGAACACGAGATAATATATACCCATGTTTACTGCCGCACTATTCACAATACCTAAGCTATGGAATCAGCTTAGGTGCCCAACCACTGATGAATGGATAAAGAAAATATGGTATATATACACAATAGAGTATTATTTTATCATAAAGAAGAATGAAATTATGTTGTTTGCAGGAAAATGGGTGGAATTGGAGATTATAATGTTGAGATAGGCCATGCTCAAGAAGTAAAATATGGCATGTTTTTGCTCATATGCAGAATCTAGACGTAAAATGATGATGATGATGATAATGGAACATGATCATAAAAGGAGACTGTCTTGAAGGGGAAATCAGCAGGAAGTGAGAGGAGAAAAGGATAGGGAACTGGGGGATCAAGAGGATCAAAGTATTATATATATATATGTACATATATACACATATATAATGTATACATATATATAATATATATATGATAGCATAATGAAACCCTCTAAATACTGTTTTAAAAGGGGGGAAGGAGGGTAATTATGGTAGTATAATGAGGAGGTAAACCTCTTCAAAGTACATTATGCATATCTATGGAAATCTCACAATGAAACCCCCTTGTACAATTAATGTATGAAAATTGTACATTATCATGCATACTATGTTAGGAAAACAGAAACGTCTTCTCTTAAGATATTCACCCCTTGGGCATATGAACCCCTTAGGTAGGCTGTAAAGAGCAAAGTCCTGGGATTCAAAACGGCAAAAGAGAAAAAAAAGTATTTTGATAATTTTTAAAACATTGCTCCATTACAGTGAAGATGAGAAAGACTAGAAGAGAGACATGGTCTAGGGGTAGCAGGAGGAAATTGAGAGTTGGGTTTTAAACTCATAAGATTTGTGATGCCTACTAGAAATTCAAGAAGAGATGTCATTGGGTAGGGTAATCAGGACAGTAGTAAACTAAGGACAGGCTATGTAACTTAGGAATCATTTTTGAATGCAGATAGTATATAAAGACCTGGAGACAGGATAAGTCACCTAAAAGATGGAAGAGAGTTCTCCAACATCAAAAGGTTGGTAGCGGAAGAAGTCTTTATTTAGGGAAATGTTAAAAGTTGAAAACAAGGGAAGAATGCTGCCATGAAAACAAAGAATTAAAAAAAACTATCATTAGATTTTACTGTAGCATTGTTTCAGCGATATGGTGAAAACAAAAGTCCAGTAAAGAGAGAATGAGAGGTAAGAGTGGTGACCATGAATGTGAACAAGTCTTCCAAAAAGGTTTGCTGTAAGAGGAAACAGAAAATGTGTCTAGAAAAATACAGAAGAAATGAATGAATGAAAAGGGAGGGAGACACAGAAGATTGAGAATTTTTTTAATGAGTAATTTTAAGTCCCTATGAATGTTGTTGGGAATGGTCCACTAAAGAGAGAAATGGATAATTGTTCAAGAAAGAGAAAGATTCTTTCAGAAGAGAGAGCCTTAAATAAGTAAGTAGGCATGGGCTGCAGAGCACAAGTGAGGAGCTGGTCTCACTCAGGGAATGGTACTTCTTCCTCTACAAGAAAAAAGAGGCAGAATATTTGGTGATGTAAACAAGGATGTTGGTAGGTTAGATTTGAGATTAGAAACTTCCAGTTCCTAATTTGATTGCTATTGTATCCTAATAAGTTGTGAGGCAAGGTTTTGCTAACTTCTAAACGAGGTGGGAATGGAGGTTTGCAGAGATGAATGAATAAGTCATCTCAGAGAGTAATAACAAATGACTCAATTGTGTGTGTGTGTGTGTGTGTGTGTTCTGCTGGAGATTGAACCCAGAGCCTTGCACATACTAGGCAAATGGTCTACCACTGAGCTGTATTCCTAGCCCAATACACAACTTTATCAGACTATCAGTTTCCATCAATGTCAGCACTTCTATTTTGAGTATGCACAGAAGACCCACAAATAGTAAATATTTATATAAACACAGTGATGCCTAAGCCCAACTGTTGGTTGGCAGGTATTCTTATCGTGTGCCAGCTGATATGTGCATATGTAAATGTTGTGAAGTACTGATATTAAAGGTTGTGTGAATTCCCTCTTAGACTAGTATTGCAACAAAGGTTTAACATTTTAAATATCGTAAAGGTAAGTCATATATTTTATAAATTAGAGAAAATATAATCACCACAATAAATGAAACAAAAAACATTTAGTAAAATTTGATATCAGTACATTCCTTCTTAATGACCACTAATGCAAATTGAAATCACAATAACATATTTTTCACTCATGAGGTAGACAAATTTTAAGTCTGGTAGTATCAAGTGTTATAGAACATACGGAGCAATTAGAGCTCTTAAACATTGCTGCGGGAATGGAAAGTGATGAAGACAATTTGACAATATCTATACACTTGAAGATATATCTATCTAATCCTGCAGTCCAACAAATTAACTCCAGGATATATACCATTAAAAAAAACCTCTTGATATGGACACCTTGAAGTATGCATAGGATGTTTGTATTATAGCGTTGTCTGTAACAAAAAATCATTAGGAAAAATGTGTAACTGTGGTTTGATGACAAGATGGAATCCTACAGCAGTAAGAAAGAAAAAGGGAAAAAAAGGAAGGGAGGGAGGGAAGAAGGGAGGGAGGGAGGGAGAAAAAGGATTAAACACACACTGAATAATTGTAACAGCGTAGTAAACCCACCAAACACTGAAAAGAAGGCAGAAGGGAAGGAACTGTGGGAATATAATAGAGGGACTGAGCTTGTTCAAAGTATACTGTATGCATCTTTGGAATAATCACAATGAAAACCCCTTGTACTGCTGGTATATGCTAATGAAAATAGTAAAAAAATGTGTTTTTAGAAATTTTCAGAAAAATACATAAAATATGCTACTGCTTAAAGTTTAAAGAGATGCAAAATAATGATATATTGGTTGAGGACACATGCCAATGGAGTAAAAGTATAAAGAAATGCATGGAAATGATAAATAAATCCAGTATGATGATTGTACCTGAGTAGGAAAAGAGGATACAATGTTTGGAAAGATAAATGTATAAATGGGGTTTCATTAAATGTTTAAATGGGGGGATTCAATTATTTACACATATAATTTATCCTGTTCCTTAAGGTGGATGTTGAGTACATGAGTTTTCATTATGTTTTTATTATCTTTACACACAGTTAAATGTTGCATAATATATTTTAAAAAGAGCAGAAGATAGTGAAAACTAACATTTGTTGAGCTCTTCACTATACATGCAGTTCTTTCTAAGCTTTACCTGCTTTATCTCATTTAATTAGTAAAACAAGAGGTTTTTATTAGACCCGTTTTCTTTAGGAAGGAAACAGGCTGTTAGAAATTAAATAATCTGTCTGTGGCTCTGTAACTAGTAAATGCCAGAGCCAGAATAGACCAATTTTTCAAAGCTCACACTCTTACTTTCTATGGAGTTTAATCATCCACCTTTACAGAGACCTTACGAGCTACAAAGTCTCATTTCTACCTCTGGATGCAGCTGTGGCTACAGCAACAAAATAGAACCACTTTGGCCTGTAAATTGGGTGGCTTTCCAAGGCTAGGCGAGCATTTGCTTCAGAGCGTAGGGCATGAGTCATTTCCTTAGGTATCTGTTTATTCGTTCAACAAATATTTATTAAGAGCCTACATAGCACAGTGGTAAACCACAATTTATTTCTTGTCTGCATCAGTTTGCCAAGCTTTGGGGACACAAATCTGAAATTTCCGTTTTCATTTCCAACTAATGAAAGGAATGTTGTTATTAATTATTAGCCACTTTCAAATTTGCAACCTGGTTTATGATGGGTCACACTTAAGCCTATCCGTCATTGATCTGAAAATTCACATGGCATCGTACTTTTTGGTAAAAAATACGTATATTGAAAACTTTTCCTCTACTTTTGACTAAACAAAGCACCAAGTGAAATAAAAATACTATTTGAAAAAATTTAATATGCTCTCCTTTCATTCTCTGTATTTCCTTTTCTCCTTTTTACCCTGCAGATCAAAAATCCCCTCTTTAATCATTTACATTTCAATGAGATTTTCCTTACCCATGTAGTAGATATATTTTATAATCTGAGTCTTTTGACAAGATTCACATGAAAGTGCTAAAATGGATGCAGCATTTGGCTTTACTTTAATTCCATCTTGTTAATTAAAATGGGTATACTAAAACCAAATAATTTTTTTTTCCTTAAGAGCAGTTTAATTGTTCTTATACTGGCCAATTTGTGTGTGTGAACTTTGTAGCTGGTAACAGCTATGCGTCTAAATCACTGTGGTCTCTTTTTAAATAATTACACAAAAATAATATTGTGAAAAGTAGCTCTCTTTTACTTACTGTTAAATTTAATAAATATCTAAGTATTTTGACACTCCACTCTTTAACCACTATTTCTTTTTTTTATTATGAATGTTCAGGGACCAGAAGGAATTTTGGGAACTCCAGGACAAAGAGGTCATCCAGGAAAAAAGGTTATTTTCATTTTATTTCTTTTCATTCTGCTTTTCTTTTTTCCTATGTGCCCACAGCTACACAGAATGCTTGTAATATCTTTATTTATATTAGCTATAAAGAAATAAGAATTTATAAATTTGGGTTTTAAAGATACAGTTGTATAAGTTTCAGTTAGAAGTGCATATTACCTTAATAATTTGAATGCAAATATTCCAGTTTGCAATTTGAAAAAAAAATCTTTGATTTTGCTTTGTGTCATTTGCCAAAAAGTGTTTTAACAGGTCACGTGCAAGAAAAGAGATAAAATGAAAATACTATATGACTTGTGATATTTGAAAACAACTTTAGTAAAATATTTGAGGAAAAGATTATGATTGTAATTGTTTCTGGGTTTATTGTTTAATGTGTTTTTTCTAAGTTAAAAAGGTTATGATTTGGTAAGGGAGGGGGTGGGGGCAGGGGGGAGAAATAAACCAAGCCTTGTATGCACATATGAATAATAAAAGAAAAATGAAAAAAAAAAAAAAAGGTTATGATTTTATCTTTCTCATGTAATAAGAACCAGAAGTTAAGAATATCTTTTTCACGTGCTTACTTTGTATTTTACTGAAAAAAATTCACATATTTGTAAAATTCTAATAAGTTATAATGAGAAATTTATGTTTCTATTGGATTAATAGTTTGTCTTAATGTTGATGAAGAAAAGGAACATTTTTCGCATTGGACTCTGACAGTTTGGAATATATTTATTATAATTAAATTCTAATTACACCATATTCTACTTTCCATAGTTCAATTCCTGCTTTTCTACAGCTAATACACCTAGTCCACCATTCTCAGAAGTTTTGATCAATAGAAGAAATAATATGAAAAAAAGATAAATGAATTTACACACATGAGAATAATCCCAATCTTGCAGTCTCTTTCATCATACCTAGTATTATATTTAGGATTGGGAGTATTGCTCAGTGGTTAGAGTGCTTGTCCTGGAATCAATCCCTAGCACCACACATACAAGAAGAAGGAAAAAGAAGAGAAAGAGGAGGAGGAAAATTCATAGTAAAATCAACATTAGAGGTAGCACAGGTCATTACAACCACCTCCATCCCTAGAAATGTAAAGTCTAAAAACTATTAGGAATACCAAAAATGTCCTCCTTTTGTCTTTTGTTTGTTTTTATTTATTTTTTATCATATTATTTTTGTACTGTGGGTACATTGTGACATTTACACTTGGTTAGCAAGTGTGAGCCCTTAGTTCGATCTCCAGTACTAGCAAATACGTATATATACATACATATATATATATATATATATATACATATACATATGATCTTTTTAATCATTTTCCAAAATCACTCTTAGTTTTTCAAATAACTTGTATACTGATAGTATGTTATTGTTAGTGGTGATCTACAGAACTATTAAAGCAAGCTTAATAATTTACAGAATTTTGCTTCCTGTTTATCCTCTGGAGTCACTCAAGTATATAATATAGTTAATCAATCTGAGTATAAATTTGTTTTTTCTTACTTCTATCTCATACTAATGTCATCCACAGGGTGACAAAGGACAAATTGGACCCACAGGAGATGTTGGAGAAAGAGGCACTCCTGGACAAGTTGGAGAACACGGTCCTAAGGGTGCCAGAGGAACTAGAGGTGCTGTGGTCAGTATTTGATTTGTTTCCAGAACTGAGTCTCTATGGATGGAAAAGAAATGTATCCATGTCCTTCCAGCTTTGTCCCTTGATTGACTTTACAGAGAATACACCAATTCCATTGAAAATCTATCTCCATGGGATGGGGAGAATTGTAAGCATTCCACAGGACTTAAATGGCTTAGTGGTTTCTGGATGGAAAAGGAAAGAGGAAAAAAAACTGAAAATGGAAATAAAACATGAAATGAGGTTTTCAAAAATCAGATTATAACTCCTAACCTAAGTAGGAAAGTTTATATGCCTAGCACTTAAAATCAGAATTTAATATCTGTATGAAACCATGCTGTTACAGTTAGCAAATTGCTTCGAAAATGAGGTTTACTTGACGTGAGCTTTCTTTCTGTGCTTGGGCTCCTCGTGCTTTGTCCAGTGACTGTTTTTCTAACCAGCTGTAGTAAATCTCCACACCATCTATTTATGTCTCTAGTTGTGTGAACTTTGCATGGTGTTGGGAACAAGTATAGCATGATACTTGGAACCTATGATAGTAAAATGTTTTGTTGATATGTTTTAGACTTCTTAAAAAATAACAGTGTTAAACTGATATATTTAAAAGATTATTCAATTTAATCTTATAGCTGTTTCATGAACTTTATTTATAAAATGCTCCATCTCCATTTAAATGTCACCAATGCTAGACTTTGGTGACAAGGCCTTTCAGAGACCATTGCATACTCCATATTTTATCTGAAAAAGATTTACCTTTCAGGCTCCTTATATGTATTCCATTATTTACTGACCTCTTACCACTCAGGCTTACTTCTTCTTATTTCAGTTACTAAGAATTTCTTGTCTTTTGTCTGTATGTTCAAAATAAATTATATAATGTGATTAATTTTTAATAAACATGAGTGCTGACACATCTAAAAATATTGCCATCAAAATAGGCTCCTATATTCAATTTTTCCTACAAAAGTATTCACTTTTTAAATTTTAACATGTTCCTTCCCAACATTTTGCCCAAATTACATACCCACCACCCACATTTCTGTTTGATGTTTGGCAATCTGATATGTGAGAAAATACATCTCACTTTTCTTTCATATTTATATTTCCCTTATTACTACTAAGTAATTTGCCCTTTTTCCTCTGGAAGTTGCCTGTTCATGTGCTTTACATATTTCCCATTAAGTTGTTGTCTTTTTCTTAATGATTTTAGTCACTTCTTATATATCTTAAATATTAATGTAGTTTTGCAACTATGTTGAAAAATATATTACAGGTACACTTCCCCATCTGCATTTACCTTTTAATACAGTGGTATCTTTTTCTGTATAGAATATTTTACATAATAAAACTTGGCAGTCTTTTCCTTTATAGATTTTGGGTCTTATTTCTTCATTAGAAATGCTTTCCCTACCTAAACTATGTAAAAATATTCTATATTCTGATCCTAATGTATGTATAGTTTATTTTTAACTCTTTAAGGCTTGTGGAAGGTTTATATTGGTAATAAGTTGTAGGAGATGAATTTATATTTAAAACTGATAGACAGCTGTTTTAATTTTATTTATTGAACAGTTGAACTATTTTCTACTTTTCTAAAATGCTTCCCTTACCATAAACTAAACTCTCAAATATTCACTGACCTGTTTTAATCCCTCAATCTGTTAGTCTGTTTCCGGGTCCATGTAACATTATTTTACTTATTATACTATTACAGGATCTTTTGAGATCTGTGAGAGCAAATACTCATAATTTGTTTTTCAGAAAAGTTCAGCTCATTGGTCTCCTCTAGTATGGACTCTTTTTCTATAGACAAACATGTCTTTTCATGTACTTAGATCTTCTTACATTTCCCTTAATAAGGTTACATTATTTTATTTTCTGTTCTTATACCTGTCTTATTAGGTTTATTCTTAGTTTTTAATGAATTTTATTCTCATTGTTAGTGTAGTCTTTTTCCATTTACATCACCTTATTGGTGCTGTGTAAGAAATGTATTTTCATGTTATACCCATTTTAATGAATTATTGTGGATTCTTTAGGTAAATAATAATATCACTTTCCCTTAATTTATTTTCCTGATTTTCTACATTGATTAGAACTTCTAGAATAGTAGTGACTAGAAACCTGGTTCTGTGCCTGTCTTTATTTTAAAAAAGCCTTTTAATGTTTCATTGTCAGGTGTTGATGGCAATTTATTTTTAGAATGTACTTACTATTATTTTAAAGAAATTTCTTTTCAACTTTAAATGAGAGTTTTGATCAGGAGATGCTGAATTTCAGCATTTGTTTAGATAATCCTATGTTTTCTTCTCCTTTGGTAATATAAGGAAATTCATTAATGGATTTCCAAATGTTGAATCAACCATGAATTCCTAGGAAAAAATCATAGATATGTTTGTATTATTCTTTGACTGCTGCTGGATTCACTTTCTAATATTTTATTTAAGAATTTTATTTTAGTTTATTGCATTTACTTTATCTTTGGAATTTTGGATCTGTATTTGTAAGCAAAATAGAGCATAGCTATATTATTTTGTTGTTATTGTTGTCAGCATTTTTAATGTTCTGTATAGCCTTTCTTGAATTTGGGTTTAAGAATTGAGCAGATTTTATAAAATGAGTTGGTAAGTTTTCTGATTTTTTTTTCCTATGTTCTACAGCAGTTTAGAAAGCAGATATTATCTATTTTTCAAGAGTTTTGAGAGCCAGAGTGGTGGTACAAGCCTGTAATCCTTCCTCAAGAGGTTGAGGAAGGAAGATTGAGAGTTGGAGGCCAACCTGAGTTATATAAGTAAACCTTGCTGCAAAAAAAAGTTTTGATAAAATTTGCATTTATTAAAAATCTGGACCTTGGATAGAGGGGTGAGGGGAAGAGATGATGGGGGTGATCTAACCAATGTACAATGTAAGCCTATTTAGAACTGTCACAATGAATCCCCCCTGTATAACAAATATATTCTAATAAATTTTTTAAAATATGGACTTGATGTTACTTTATTAGTAATAGGTCTTTGGCTACCTTTTCAAGTTTTTTCTCAAATACAGTTTTTGAAATTTTTTCCTAAAAAAATCATCTATTTTCAAATTTTCTAGATTTTCAAATTTAGTAGGGAAAACAACATTTAATATCTTCTTATAATAATTTAAATTTTTTAAGGATGGGGACATATCTCAGCAATAGAACCCTTGCCTAGCTTATACAAGGCTCTGGTTTGAGTCCAGCACCACGAAAAAAAAATGTAACAATAAGGAAAAATTAGGTTATCATCCAAATATTGTTTTATTAGATCTACTCTTTTTCTTGATTAGATTTGCCTAAGATTTTGCTATTGTATTAGTCAGTTAAAAGAGTCTACTTTGTTTTTTCGCTCAACTTTTTTCTGTTCTTTTTATTAATCTGTGCTTTAGTGTTATTTCTTTCTCCTCTTTTTTTGGTTTATATTATAGTTCTTTTTATTTTTTTGACAGTGCAAGGGTTTGAACTCAGGGCCTTGAACTTGTTAGGCAAGTGCTCTATCTCTTGAGCCATGCCTCCCACCCTTTCTGCTTTAGTTCATTTTTCAGATACAGTCTCATCATTTGCCCCAGTCGTCCTGAGACAGCTATCCTCCTACCCCCACCTCCCAAACAGCTGGAATTACAGATCTGAAGCACAACACTTCTCTCTCTCTCTCTCTCTCTCTCTCTCTCTCTCACATATATATATATACATATATATTGATTTCAGGAAGAGGTTACTGAGGTCTTCTGCTCAGTTACTTTTTGGAAGGTTACATATTTTGAAGATATACTCTTAGGTAACTTAAGAGTCACAACTCATTTTCCTTATACAACACACATTTTATTTCTTTGTTGTAGTGGCTCTGATCTTTCTATCCTTGGGTTCAGCAGCACTCTTTAGCCATGACTGCCTTTCTAGGAAGTTCCCATGCTTATTCATTTAACTTCTATGAAAATGTCTGACAGCAGCACAAGCAGGAAGTAAAAAGACCTGACTCTGTTCTCCAATTAGTCAAGCTCCTGCCCCTTACACTCTTGATTTCAGAGTTTGTAACTTCCTTGGGACCATTTACACACTAGCAACAATTTCCTTTTGTGCATATTTCAACTCTAGTTTCCTATCTCAGATCACGAAATCTTGATCCAATGATGCTTACTTTTCTTTCAGTATTGTGATTACAAATAAACAAGTAGCTTTCTTCTCTCCATCTCTCAGAAACAAAAATATGTCATTCATTCATCTTGATCCAATATGCATTAGCTTCTCTTTTTTTGTGTGTGCTGGAGGTTGAACAGAGGACCTCGATGATAAGCAAGTGCTGTACACTGAGCTAAACGTGTACTAGATTCTTAGGTTTTAAAAGCTTTAGTAACTGCTCTTAGGTTACTTTCATTTAAAAGGGTGAATTGAGCATTTACATTCAAATCTAAATTGTCTTCATAATGACTGAATTCTTAATTTTTTTAAATTAACTTTGTACAGTTCTTTTCCAGACTAAAATCTATTCTAAAATGAATGAGTCTAAATATGCTGATTTGTGGTTAATAATTGTAATGTGAACTTTTTTTAGAGCTAGGATTTTAAAGAAGTCATGAAATATAGTGAAGCAGAATGATCAAATGGGAAATATTCTGCATGCAGAATCCAGACATCTGGTTCTGGCACCTGGTTAGTGTGATAGTTGGCAAGTCACTTATTCTGAGCCTTAATTTCCTCATCTATTTGTTTTGAGACCCAAATAGGAGAGTTGATGTGGAAACTTTTTGATAATATGAAAAATAGGACTTTTTAGGATCATTATTTTGCTTTTTTTCAATTACTTGAGTCATATTTTCAATAAATTAAGGGCATTTATTGATGAACCTTTAATTTGTATGGTTTTCCCCATCTGTAAAATATTGACAGTAAAAGTAACCGTATGGTGGTAGTTACACATAAGTTGTCAGTATTTCTGTGCCAATAAGTTTTGTTGACCAGTGCTGAAACATACTCATCAAAGCATCTGGAACCCTCAGTGGTATAGAATGTTCCCGGATCCCACAGGGACCATATCAGAAACCATCAGACTTCACGCTCTGAAACGCAGGGAGGTACATCTACCACAAACTTTAACAGATGTCAACTGTATTTCCCAGAATTTGCCAGAGGCCAGCAGTGTTCTGACAACTGAAAGTACTTCTTTTAATATGATTAAGTATGTTCATACCAAAAATAAACTAGAAACTTTTTTTTTGTGGAACTTCTGTGGACCAGAAGAAAAATAAATACAAAAAATGGGCTTGGTTTTTTGTTTTGCTTTGTTGTTTTCCCATTTCAGACTTTACAGAATTTCAAACAATGAAATGTTAGAGGTAAAACTTTAAATAATTGGCATATAAGTTTAGTGATTCAAACAGTTGTCTATTTTCTTTCTCACCAATATTTACTTTGATTTTTAGGGTTCTGTAGGACTGATGGGTCCTGATGGAGAACCAGGAATTCCAGGATATAGGGTAAATACTTCTAGTTAAATATATATATTATATATATATACATATATAATATATATATGCATCCCTACATACATATGCACACACATTAAAATATTTATATTAAATATTATATCTCAGGTATGCAAATAAAGATTAAATCTCTCTGATAAACCTTTTTAACATATTTAATTGTCATCCCCCTATAGAGAGAATTTTTTCCCTTCAGAATAGCACAATGTCTAATAGCATGGACTCGTTGGCATTGGGTAGAGCATGGCTGGGTATATGGGAAATATCTATTTACTTGTCTTTTTTACAGGGCCATAAAGGTCAACCAGGACTCTCAGGGTTGCCTGGACCTAAGGGAGAAAAAGTATGTGTGTGTGCTGGCATTTTAATTCTAAAGCTAACATTTAATTTATGAATTCTTTCTAAAAGAATGCATGGAAACATTTTCAAGGGATAAAGGAGTCACTTTTCCAGTTGGGAGTTTTGCAAATACTAGAAGAGCATAATAATCAAGAACCAGAATTTAAACAAATTATTAAAATACCTTCCATGGATTATTTCAAGATTGAGGTGAAATAATAGAAAGTGCTTTTTAAACTGTATAATTTTGTGAAAGTAATATTGATTACATGTTGAAGAGGTTTTGAGACTCTAGATAACTAATTATAGCTCTCTTAAATTAAAATTTCTTAATCAGTTAGGTGCTACATCAGCACTTTTGATTTGTGACATAATTAAAAACCTGCATTTTGAGAAATTTCTAAGATGCTTTTTATGTAATTAAAACAGATTGACACTCTAAGAACCATACACAAATTATAATTGTGTCTGAAATACCATATGTTTAATTTTTTAGGTAAAAGTTTTCACTTAAAAATATAAAGCCAAAAATTTATATTTCTGACAGATTAGAAAATAACAGGGTATGTATTTTAAAAGGTTATTTTATTAATTTAGTTGTGTTAATAAATCATTATTTTCATTTTAGGGTTACCCAGGAGAAGATAGCAAAATCCTAGGACCACCTGGGCCTCGAGGTGAACCAGTAGGTCTTTTTCTAAAATTATTTTGGTACTTCCAGATGAAACGCACTAAGACATTCACAATCTAATTTCATCTTTGCAAAGTTTTATTTTAGTTTTATAACATGCCTTGATAGGAGAGTAATAGTAGTATTTGTCATCACGAAGTCTAAATTATGTGACAGTCTTAGGCATGTAAAATATTCAGTTCAAGATCTTTAGCCAAAATGAAGGTTTAAGAAAGTAACTTCTGAAATTTAATGTTCAGTGTCGAATGCATGATGAGTTTTAACTGAGATTGTCCAAAACTTATATTCCCTAGACTTCTTAGGGCAAGTATTTCTTTAATTAGCAAGTTCAGATTTATTTCTAAAGTATTAAAAAGTCTGAACTATATACTTTTTATAGTAGTTTGCACATAGTTCCCAAGTGATTTCAAAACTCCTGTATCAGTTATCAGAACCAGTAATCTTTAAAGATTCACAGATCTATATTCTTGTAATTATATATTTTAAGCACTAACTATAACCACCACAGCTTTTGAAAAGTAGCTCGTATAGTCTTGATCATCTTAATAATTATCTCTTCATTTGTGTTTGACTAAAACACTGTATGAAGGTTACATGTAAATTAAGTGAGTAAAATAAAAATACTTAGTTCGCAAAAATATAATTGGTTAGAATTTTCTGTTTTCTCAGTATCATTTAGGATAAAAGAATCTTAGAGCACAGAAGCAGAATATGTAGTCACTCTTCATATTTTGATCTGGTTGAAAGTGATATTTCTTTAGAAATAGAAAAGATTCCAGAATTTTTCTGATTAAATCAAGCCATTTCATAGAGACAGCCTTCTCTATAAGAGTATGTAAGTTTCTTTATCAAATATAAACCACCAAGAAAAGAAAATACATGGAAATAATGCATGAATTTAAAAAGCAAACAGGAGAAAAGTAGGAAGTGGAAAACAGCAGTGCTTTTCTTTTACCAGATTCAGGTGTATCAGGACCAGGGCTGGGGACATGGTTCAAGTGGCAGAACATCTGGCAAGCACAAGGCTCTGAGTTCAAACTCCAGTACCAAAAAATAAAAGAGTTTACCCATTACAAATGAGTTTAAAAGATATTCCCAACCTGAAGGCTGCCAATTCTGAAGGCATACCAGGATCAAAGAATGCCTGCTAAAATATAATATACCTATATATTTAAAGCTAATATAATAACTATGGTGGTTTTATCCAGTAGACATGAGACAAGTATAAAATATAAGCCAGGAATTTTCTAAATAATTAAAGCAGACTAGGTAATTGCCTTTACATTATGTCTATTAACTTTATTTACATAGGAATATATTAAATTGTATCAATTAATACTCCATAATAAGTTCTATGGGTTTTGACAACTAATTTCAATTTGTTTGTGTTCAGATTATAGATTCTAGTATATAATAAATAATGTTTTAAGTGGACTTTAAAATGGTTTATGTTATCAAAATTTATATTACAAATATTTAGAAAAGGTAAGTTGGAGTTTTTTGATTGATTTCTACCTTAAGGATTAAAGTTTATTCATGCAATTTTATTAGGTTAATTTATGCCTTGAGAATCAAACATTTCACAGGTTAAATAATAAATAGAATTTCTGACAAAGAAACAAATAGGACTGACTATTAAATACTTTTGTATTTAATATAATTTATTAAAGATAATTGTTAAAACTACTAATCATTAAATTATTTAAGAAAATGTAAATATAGTCTCATATAATTAATGGAAATAAATGGCTAATACTCCCACTTAAATCCTTTTCAGTCGGTTTAGCATTGAGTAAAAATACAAGTTATTTTAGCATCATATGTAACATACTAGACTCATCTAAAAATCACATTTTTGATTGGATTTCATTTCTTCAATATTTTACTAGCAGAATTGTTATGAGATTGTGTTTATATAATTCAGAATTTAGTTCATTTGGATGTTTGATTTTGATGTCATTGAAATTCATTTTTTTAATTATTTAGTAGAACTAAACAAGTTATTAACATTTGGGTTTATATTTTTGCCAAAAGAATAAACCATACTACTTGCATCGTCTACATTCAGAAATGCAACTGTAAAATTGATTGTCTTTGTATGTGGTCTCTGTAGGGCCCAGTGGGGGACCAAGGAGAGAGAGGAGAGCCTGGAGCAGAAGGCTATAAGGTAAACATTGAAAGTTACATACCTTTCTTCAAGGGTTCTGTGGTTGGGCTTGGTTTCAAGTGAAAACAAACATCACTGAGATAATTAGTAATGTCTTAGGTTTTTAATCCGAAAGAACCCTAGCTCTTTCTACTTTCTGTTTCTTTTTCCTAGAATCACCTTTGTTTCTGCCCATTGCTATTTTTTTCCTCCTCATATATATCTCAGCTGAAGTGTTATCACCTGGAAGGCCTTCTCTTACTGCCCTATCTTAAATAGATCTGAAAGCATTTTGTCTGCTCTATCAGCATATTACCTGATTTCCTTCATGGCATTAAGTGTTACATTGCCTTATCACATTTTTTATACATTTGTTTCTTTGTCTATTATCTGTCTTCATCCACCAAAATGTGAGATCTATGAGAAGACTCTTGTCTCCCTTTGTTATTATATCCCAATTTCTAGAACACAAAAATTCTCATGTATATTAGAAACTCAATAAAAAGTGTCAAATAGGTGAATAGATACCATCATAATGAGACAAATCAATTCTTGACCTCTTTCATTTCTTAGAAGCATTTTATAAGATCAACTTTATCAGCTAAAGATATATTAGGGTTCATCAGGAAGTCAAAACTCAATAAACATAAATAATTTCCTCATAGAATGTTGACCTTTTCTGTGAGAATATTGTTAGCTTATGTATTCAATCCTTTCTAGCCCAGAAAAAGATGATCCTGTTTTCTCTCTTAAGGCATTCTTTCTGTACTATTCTGAAAGTAGGAAGAAAGGAATCTGAGTAAAAAAGACAGTAGGAAAGGGAATAAAAGAGATTTCATGCACAACTCTTCAGCTGAACTTTCCCCTGGGTGGTTGCTACTTTCTGTTTAAACATTTGAAAAGGGAAATGTGGTAGGTCAGCATTCCTTCTCAGGAAAACTAGAGTGGTAACAGGCTGCTAATTGTAGGAATCATTTGATATTTCTACAGTAATTGCTTCTGGTCTTTGAAGCAATAGATCTATGCAAACAGATGTGAACTTAGTTGTAAAATGGAGCCCAAGGTGCCCTTCCACAGTGGGGGACGGGCTGAAAAAAGATATTTATTCTTATTTGTTGTCTACTATACAGTCAGCGCTCTACTTCTAACCAACAGTTCAAACAGCTACAGATCAAAATATTCTTAAAAAAACTACTATCTTTACTGAATGTATACAGACCTTTTCCTTGTCACTGTTCTCTAAATAGTATAGTATGATAACTATTTACAATGTACTTGGAATTATAAGTAATCAAGAGATGATTTAGAGTAGACAGGAAGATGTGCACAAGTTATATGCAAATACTATGTCATATAAGAGACTTGTGCATCCTCAGATTTGGGGTCTAGGAACCAATCCCCCAAGAGTATCTAGGAATAGTCATATTAGTCTCCTGAGGCTGCTTTAAAAAATTACCACAAAATGGATAGCTTAAAACAACAAGAATGTATTCTCCTAGTTCAAGAGATCAGAAATCTGAAATCAAAGTGTGAACAGGGGCTCACTCCCTCTAGAGGCTCTGGGAAAGCAGTTCTTGCCTCTTACAGCTTCTGGTGGCTGTCAGCATTCCTGTGGTTGTATCACTCTAATCTCTGCCTCTGTCTTCACCTGGCCTCTTCCCTGCTGTTTCTATCTGCCTCCTTTGTTGGCTCAATTTCAAGAACACTTGTTAATGGATTTGGTGTCCACAGGATGATCTGGGATGGTCTTACTTTGAGATCCATACCTTAATGGCATCTATAAAAACTTTTAATAACTAAGGTCACATTCCAGTTCCAAGGATTAGGATACAGCCCTATCTTTTGAGAGGATACCATTCAACCTACTACATTTAAAAAACAAAACTCTACTTTTCCATCATAATATACCATACTATCCAACTATTATAAGTTCTATACTGTTTCTAAGAAGAATCATAATTTCTAGCATACTCAAATTGATTTTTGCAAGTTTACTGCCATTTTAAGTGATAATGACTTATTCTGTAAGTCACATGTCTCTACTTACTCTAATAATATAATCTTTTGTATTCCTAGGGCCATGCAGGTGTACCAGGACTAAGAGGTGCCTCTGGCCAACAAGGGCCCCCAGTATGTTTTTAAAGCATTCTTTATAATTCTGACATTTAAGAAAATTAACATTAATATAACTTATTTAGTCTTTGCCATACATGTGATTTCTGTTTGGGTTCCTATTAAAGGGTGAACCAGGTGACCAAGGCGAACAAGGACTAAAAGGAGAGAGAGGATCTGAAGTAAGTTGGAATTGTTTAAGTCAATTTGAAATTTATTATTGGCTTAAGAAAGCAGGGAAACAAGGAGTTGCTATTTATTGTAATCCAGTTAATCATTAATACCTCCAGAGCAGGAATCACTGTAGGCCTCTAAACAGAGTTTTTGTCAAAAATTGTGCTAAAACCTGTTTTTTTTTTATTGATTCGTATGTTTTGACTGCTATCCAAATTATACTTTATCTCCTCTGGCTTTGGGGAAATTGCCTAAGTTTGTCTCCAATTAGTAATCTCTTTTTGAGGTTTCAAATAGCAATACCAGCATTGTATAGTGAAAAACTATCAGTCAAACTTATTTAGTTGCTTAGAAGGTGTTAAAGAAAATAATTATCTAACAATACTTGTTAAAGCATGATACTGAAGACCTTATTCAGAACTATCTGAAGGGTATAAATACACTTTCAGTGGGATTTAGGAGACAGAGAGGACTTAACTCCAAATATAGCACCAGCAAGTAGGAATTTATAGCTAAGAAGCAGGGTGAAGGATCAGTGAACAGAAAATTACTAAGAGGAAACATCAAGGGTAAGAGAAACCTTGACCATGTTGATCTAACAGGATTCTTGCTGAAGGCAAGCCAAGGTGATGACAGATAGGATGATGTCTGAAGTGATACCTGGAAGACCAAGGGGGATAAGGAACCTGATTAGGTATCAGGGTGATCGGTATTGTTAAACTGATTAGCAGGGTTCTTTGCTAAAATTGGATTTTATAAGAGAATGAGTAGGTGGGCCTACAGGAAGGTTGAGGAGCCTGACTAAAATTTGGTCAAGTAAAGAATCTTTGTCATAGGGTAAGGGTTAATGTAGTTTGATTATGTAACACAGACTCGCATTTGGTTTGAAAAAGGATATTTTTTTCCATAAGATTAAGCAGTTCTTTGTTATCAAGCAAACTAAGACTTGATTTGCTGAATTTAACCTTGACTTTCCCTGTGCACTAAGGAACATGGCCTTAACCTTACATAGCAACTGGCATTGTCATTTGCACCATCAGTTCATTGCTTCCCTGCTTTTGATGGCATTCAAACTTTACATGTTATTGATTCAAAATTAAATTCTTAAGAAAATGCACTATAACTTAATAATGAATTTAGTGAGAATGGATAAAAGTAATGGACTTATGATTATATTTCTCGTAATTTGCTAAGCAGTCTTCACCCATATTATATTTACCACTTATAGGGGTAAGTAAGAAAATTGACCTAGAAACCTTTTTGAATAGTCTTGGAATCTACCTAGTAAATTCCTGTCTAGTTCCTTAATAAATTAGAATTAATAAGTAATTAATGAAATTATCCAATACATTGAAGGCAAGCCTGGATAAGAAAAAAATTACTGAGAAAGAAGATAGCTGCCAATTTCACTTAGAATTTTTTTTAAATTCAAAATGGAGAAAATTAGGGAACAAACTGAACCTAGAAAACCTCTACTATTGTCATTCCAGTCTGCTGTATTTGCAATAAGTACCTGAGCATGCAAGTACTCTCCAAGGTTGGATACTGAAATGCCTAATCTTTTATAATTAATACTTTCATATTTATGTTTTCTTTCTCCTTTTTTGCATATGCCAGGAAGAAAACATTCTTGATTCTTACTAGTATCTGTTAAAATAATGCCAATGAAAATAAAATTATTTTACTAGACAACTGCCTCTTCAGTCAACATGGTCAGTTCTTTCTAGGTGTTGGAGCCGAAAAATACTTTAAATTCTGTATAATTCAGGGAAACTAGGTTTTTTCCTGCTTTGGGCAATGTTAGCATATAGTCCAAGGGTACAATTAAAAACCTCTTAAACAACTAAGTATGGTTGTTCAGGCCTGCAATTCTAGCACTTAGAGACAGAAGCAGGGAGATTATTGAGTTCAAGTCCAGCCTGGCTTACATAGCCCAACCCTGTCTCAAAAAAATTTAATAAAAACCTCTTGAAATTTAAAATAGCATTGATTGCCACAAGAATAATCATGATTACCCATCCAGTTCATTAAGGACCCCTTCGGCAATCTGATGGCTGCTGTCCAATTGCTGTTATATTGTTTTTGCAAAGCTTTAAATTTATTTTTTCAATTTTGGATATGTTCCATTAAAATCATCTGAACAACTCTCTCATTTTTCACATGAAGAAATTTAAATCCCAGAGAGATTATGAGTTACCTAAGATCACAGAACTAATTAGCAACAGAACAAACACTGGAAGTTTTATTTTCTGATTCCTATTATTATACAGAAGCTGTTACTTTGAACTAAACCAACTAATTTATTTATTGAGCATATGACTGTGGGTAACTATAAGCAAAAAGTGAAAGCAAGTGAAAACCACTGCATTTCTGTAATGTGAATGTAAGTGAATTGTCTTATAATGGCTTTCAAAAACTTCAAAGACTTAAGACTCAAGCCAAAAACCTTAATTTTCTCCCAAAATAAAATGCCAGATTTTAGTCAGTTGTAATTTCTTGAGAAAGAAAGTCTTGTGAACTCTCTAAATCTATTTTTGCTTTATAAAGCTGTTGTCTCAAAAGAAGTTAAAACTAGAAAAGTATTGAGATAACTATCCTTGAGCTTTCTTTAAATCAAAAAAGGAAGGGGGCAGGAGCTTGGACTGACATAGCACATTAAAAAAATTGTCCCCTATCAAAAGAATTAGATTATATCTCCTAGTAGGCTATGAACCACTACAGTCTCAATAAGCATAAGGCTTTCTAAATGGATCTGATTTGAAATGGCCTACTCTATATGTTTTTCAATGTTAACTAGGCAAAGGAAGAAAGCACAATTTTACGTGCACTCCAAAGACTACATATAAAACTCATTTGCCTTTCCTATTATGAGAACAGAAAGTCTGTTCACTGATTTATGAGGTACTTATATGTAAATAAAATAAGGAAGTTAAGTTTGAAAGTAGTAATAGAATACTTTTACTTTTATTATGTTTTAATTTGGGGGATTGGTTGAAGAGTGACTTTTTTCCTTCTTGTGCTACCAATTCAATCATCTACTAACACCTTATTTATATAACAACATATTTTCTTTACCTTTGGCCCAATCTGTAATTTCCTACTGAACAGACCCACCTCTATGTAAGAGTTAGTGTTTAGTAATATTTAGCTCTTAGTTTAATTATAAAACTATCCAGTAATTCCAGCTTCAAGACTTTTTTAAATGCAAAAACTCAAAAACAGCACTGTCTTGATTCAGGCTGCTATAACTAAATACCACAGACTAGGTGACTTACAAACAACAGAAATGTACTTCTTGCAGTTCTGGAGGCTAAAAGCCCAAGAGCAGGATGCCAGCATGGTCAGGTTCTAGTAAGAATCCTCTTCCATAATACAGACTGCCAGATTGTCACTGTATGCTAACATGGTGGAAAGAGGGCTAGCCCACTCTTTGGGGTCCCTTTTATAAGTGTACTAATCCCATTCATGAGGGCTCCACCCTTAGGACCTCAGGACCTCATTACCTTCCAAAGGCCCAACCTCCTAATACCATTAGGCATTTCAGTGAGGGTTAGGATTTCAACATGTAAATTGGGGTGAGGGAGGGCAAATAAACATTTAGTCCATAACAGGAGCAATATTCTACACTTTAATGAGCTATATTATTTAAATCTCTATTTTAAAACTATGACTTTTTTAAAGCAGTCTTATTTTCTTTTAGTTAGGGTGATAATAATTGCAATAAGGAAATCTTTCCTAAATTGAACATCAAATCTTGCTATTGGTTTAATATACCTAGTCTTCAATAGCTGAATGGTGCCATAATTGCCCTACTATCACTAGCAAAAGAATATGTCTGATAGTCACCATTTTTCTTTAGTGTGATTCTACTGTACACTGTTTCCTAATGTCCATCCAAGTCTGAATAACATTTTAGTTTTCATGATAGTAGACACACAGATGTAGACTTCAAGATAAAATACTTAACTCTTCTGAAATAATCCCCAATTATCACTCACCCACAAATGTAACTAAATTTTAAGAATATGTGAATCTTTTTGTTTGTATTTTGTTATTTGAATGTTTAAAGTAAGACACATACAACTCTGGTATACTCGAAGTAGAAATTTCTTTGTAGTCTTTATAATGGAATTTAACATCTTTCCTGAGGGTCCATCCTGCCTGGTGGTAGAACCCTAAATGGTGGATACTTAATTAATTCACTGCACTTAACTCCATGTACTCAAATATGTTGCCATTAACTAAACGTTTTCCCCTCTCACTTTCTTCTCAAGATTGCAGTAACATTCTCAGTTACACCAGTGGTAAAGGATAATGGGAGCTGACTTTAGCCTTCAGTCATCCTCATTTACTAGCATCCACTGAAGAGCACATCATCCCTTTGGCCACCAATTGCCATTGGCAAATACTATGTTGGCATCTACCTTGGACTTCCTGGCAGAAGTTTTGCTTGCCTGCAAAACTCTCTTCTCATCTTAGTATAGAGCAAGACCTCACCAGAAAGGACTTTCAGGCTATATGCTTCTGGTTTTGTTCATATGTAAATAGCATTCTGTCCTCTCTATACCATGCTGGGTACATGGGGAACTCACAGCAATATTTCACTATCCTAGACATCTCATGCTGAAATTTCTACACTATTGCTGATACTTAGAACACTTTATGTAAACTTCTCAGTGAGGCTTTAGTCTCCTTAAGCCTCATCTTTGTCCCTAGATCCTCCAAATTTATCTGGGAGAATTATGGTTTCTCCCCACTCCAAGGCTTGAAGATAGAGCAAAAGGCTTCTCTCAGGATCCCTGTAAGTGTCTAACAATCTTTTTTCTCTTCTGCTTCTCCTCTTCCCTTTCCCCAACTCAGATTTTTATATCCCCTTACAGTAGAAAAACTCTTCTTGCATTAATAAATTCTTTAAAATCTGTTCTTTATGGCATAAATTTTATGACGTGAGTCCTTTATAACCTTTTTAACACTCAATAAGACTTTTAGTATTTAAGAATTCAGCTTTTGTATTTAAAAACATCAATTCAAAATGGAAAATATATTTTTCTCAAACTATTATCCCTACTGTGAATTTCATTGAACCATTATAAAATTCATAAGCCAAAGAAAAGTCTATTTGGAAAATCAAAAGTCTGGAACAGAGCTATCTCTCTCTTTGCATAAAAAGAAATACTGTGAAGGAAAAAACGCACTGGTTATCATATTTGAAAATCATCACCACTAGTATTATTTTTAAATGACTGAAATCATAACTTTTTCAATATTTATTTGCTTATTTTACTTCTTTTTTGTGTTCTGAAAAACATATTTTACTATAGATACCATGTGTTCTAGAAATTGTTTATACTTCAACTAAACCCAGGTCACCATCTCTTTCATTTTCTGGTTTCCTTACCCTTAGAAAGACTTTGCATTAGTACTTCTAAAGCAAGTAAAATAGTTTTCAAAGCTGAAGCCAAAACACTTATTCATGTATCTCCCTATTATCGAATTTTTGAAAAAAAAATTTTTGAAAAAGAGCCTATGTAGCCCAGACTGACTCTCTGCCTCAGCCTCTTTAGTGCTGGAATTAAAGACATACACCATAACACCTAGCTAAAAAATACTAACTAAAAAATACTCTTTTTCTCTGTGATAATACATATTATTCCTTCTAAAATGTTTAAGCTCATTTTCAGAAGATGTAACATCTGAAATTATTTATTTTGTGTGTGTGTTGTTAAGTTAAATCTTTAGCACAGTGTCTTCATTTTTTTTCTTAACATTTTTGTTAGGATATCTTAGCTGTATTGGAGGTTTTATTGTGAAGTTTTCATATATGCTTACAATGTACCTTGGTTAGTTTCATCCCCACCATCATTCTCCCTCATCCTCTTCCCCCCAACTTAAAATGATTTTGACAAGTTTCAGTGTTTTTTCATAAAGATATATAAAGTACATCAATGATATTCAAAGTCTTTGACCTCCTTTCACCCTCTTCCTCCCACTAGAACTCTCCCCCTAACAGGATGGGTTTTACATTCCTGTTCTTCCTTAAGTGTATGTTCACTGTCTTATTCATGATAACTTTTGATGATTTCTGGGAAATGTGTCTGAGAATGACAATACAGTTCTTGTTCTTATTTATATATCAGTCACCCTTTTACATATTTTTCTTCTTAAAATAATTTTAGGATATCATCAGAACAATGGCATGATTTGCAAGGGCAAATTTCCTAACTATCCTGGCAGACCAGTTACTGCTGAATCAATTATGATTTAAAATGTCTCACACATGGAAAAACAAACAGTTCCATGGGAAATAAATACCTGTTCCTTGATTTGCAAGTATGTTCTTTGTGCTTGCAGAGAAGGACATTTTAAGCTACGGGCTCATGTCCCTCACTACATGGTAAGTGACTTGTGAACAGGACCTTTTCTTGCAGTCCTAGCCCATAACAGAGTCCATGATACATGATATTCAATAAATGTTTACTGAATTTAGCTACTTTCAAAAGAAGACAAAGGCTCTGCCTGAAAGTGGAGATGTTTACTAAATAAATAGAGCTATGATTCTGAACCTAGAAGAAAATTCATAGATGATCCGTTCAAACGCTCTGATTTTCATATGAAGAAAGTGACCCCAGGAAAGTTAAATGACAATCCCAGTGATATACAGCTAGTTAGTGGCAGCTTAGTGTAGCTTCCAGGCCTCAGTATTCTCTTCTGTGGCTTCAGTTTAGGTAAATTTACTTCTGTCAATTGACAACTGTGCTTCCCACTTTTAGGGCCCTGTGGGGAAAAAAGGAGCTCCTGGTCCTTCTGGGAAACCTGGCATTCCTGTAAGTAATGGGCCTCTTTCATCTTTCTTGTTTTTCTAAATAGAATTGACAGCTTTAGCAAGCAGAATAGTTTGGGGCCAATTATGTCATGTTGGATAAATCAGATTGTCTTGAAAAAAATTTTAAACCCATGCTGGAACACAAAGGAAACAAAATATGACCACTAACTCAAAACCAAACTTGCTATTTAAATCTAAGTCCCTGTGACTGAAGGATGTGATTTTCCTGTGCTGTGAAGCCTTCCCTGTGGACTCCTGTTCCTCTGTCATGATAAGGATTGGCAAATAGGGAACTTGGAATCCTAACTAAATGAGTGGTAACAAAGGTCAGATACCTTCAACCATAATTAAAAGAACATGAGCTGGATTTAATTGGGGGATTCAGCCTCTCACTCACTCCCCTGGCAAATGGAACAGAAAGTCTTTGAAAAAGAAAAATTTAATTCCTTTATTCTAGAACAAAGATTAATTTTACCTTGGCATCAGTTCCTCCTCTAGCTAATCAGATATGTATTGACTAGCTTATTACTAGAGATGTCCTGTTGACATCCCCCAGTCAAGACTTAGATGCCAGCTTTGAGTGACCTGTGTTGGTTCAAAATAGTGGAAAAAAAATTAAGATAAATTATAAGCACATTCAGATCAGAGATCCTACAGATAAAACCCAGCCATTCAAAAGTAGAAACAAATGTTCTGACCTTTCTTCAGTCATGTAATTATCTGATTCAAGGAGTAACAGAAAGAATCATAATTTGTTTCTTGGGAAATAACACAATACAAGGTTTTGGAGATGGTGAGTGACATCCCATAGACTAAGCTGACAGGTGCACATAACTCATCTTTTCTTGGCAGCTGGTAAAGCATGGGTTGGCACAATTGTATATTGTAAAATACAAAAGAATTACACTAAGATCCAAAAGGTTACAGAGTAAATTGCTGATCAGCTTGGTGTTTTTGTTTAAGGAAATTTTTTTCTCTTTTGTGGGTGTTGGGAACCAAACCCAGGGCCTTGTGCATAACAGGCAAGTGCTGTGCTGCTGAGATATATCCCCAGATCTATTTAGGGAAATTTTTAAAAATTAAATTGCAGAGTCCAAGGCTGGCCTTGAACTTAAGATCCTCCTGTCTCAGCTCCTGCTGAGATTATGAGTATGAGCTACCACACACAGCCCTTAGAGAACTTTTAAGAACTTTTTTGTTGAGTCCAAACAGTAAATCATTAAGGGGTCCAAGAAACAGAGTAAAATTTGCCCTGGAACAAGGTATAGAAACACAAACTCCCTCTAGCCTCCCCTAGTAAATGTAAAGGTAGTTGTCATTTAAACATCTGCCCAGCATGTTTCTATAATCCAAGTAATTTTTAATTATCAAGGGACTTCTAGGCCTTCCTGGGCCAAAAGGCATGCCAGGATACCACGGAGCAGATGGCATTTCAGGAAATCCTGGAAAAATTGGGCTACCAGGAAAACAGGGACTTCCTGTGAGTAGTGTGAATCTCTCTTTTTTCTTTATTTCTTATGTATAAATGTCTCCTAGCTAGACTGTAGGTATTTTGGCTATCTTTCTTAGGTTTGGCATTGGCTCGGATTAAGTCAATTATTTCTCCGATAGTTATTTTGGAATTATATTTATGATTTACAGGAGTTTTGATGGGCACGTTCTCTTGGATATTTTAGATCTAATAATCCAGAGTTTTAATTTATACAATTTTATCCCTATAAAAACTTTTTAAAAGAGCTGTAAGGAAGCTACATTTTAGGGGCTACCCAATCTTTCTGAGTTTTGGTTCATCACATGTCTTAAACAACCATTGGATCACTTAGATCTTGGCAGTAACTCAAGGTAGGTTCTGCCAAAAATCATTTTCCCTTTGCTTTTATATAGCCCCAGTATTTTTAAGAACTGTGTGAAATTTTCTGTTTTCTAGAGGTAACAGTGATACAAGTCACTCTTACTTTTATCCAAATTTGTATCTTATCTATCTGATCAGAAATTTAAAAATCATAATTTCATCTTTACTTAGCCATTCCCCTTTTTTCCTTCTCAATTGTTAATCTAATCCACATCTTTTTGTTATCCTAGGTTGTATTTTCACTTGAAACATTAGAATTACCAAGAACCCAATAAAATTTACCCTTTTGCATTTCCACTATTTGTATACAGCTATCCATTGATTTGTTCTCTTTTCTTAAATAATAAATCAACATTAGCTGTTTATTCAAATCTGGCGTGGTGCTGTACTAACAACTCCTCATACCTACCCCTCCCACATTGCTGGGATTACAGACATCAGCCACCAAGCCTGTCCTGAGTCCTATTCTTGTAGTTAGGTATGGCTTCCTATGCAGCAGAGACCATATGGCCTGCAACGTCTACAATAATTACTATCTAGCCCTTTTATAAAAAAAAAAAAAAGCTGGCTAGCCTCTGGTCTATTTGTATTGTTGCACTGTTATTATTACTGTGGCTGTGCAGTATGTCCTCAGATATAGTACAGCAAGTCCCCTTCTTTTTTTTTTTAATTTACTAGTTATTAACCTTGATTTCCTCACATACATTTAGGATACAATTGTTGAATAGTTATACAGGTAAAGTAAAATAAAAGCTTGATTTGTTATTGGATTTGCCTTGAATTTATAGATTTTTTTGAAGAAAGTTCATATTTTAGAAATCTAATATAAAAATACAGAATACCTATTTATTCCTGTCATCTTCTATGGCCCTATGATAGAATTTTTTCAAAATAAAAATAGCAAAAATTTATACAATACTTATTATGATAAGTTATTTAACCTTTACAACCTTATGAGATAGGTACAATTATAATTCTTATTTTACAGATGAGGAAACTGAAAGATTAAGTAATTCTCATAAACACACAACTACAGAGGCAATCTAACTTCATATTTTTTCCCCTTACCGACTTGTAATATTGTCTTTCAATAAAGACCTTGTGTATTCTTGTTCTATTTTCTAGTTAGTTTTCATCATTTAAGTAAGTATTACAGATTTGTATAGGTTATAGTCTAATCCAGCTAACTTTTTTACTTCTAATAACTTCCTGTTGTGATTCTATTGGGTTTTTAGGTAGATAGTGACATCATCAAATGATGGAAGATTTCTCTTTTCCCTTACATTCATTCCCACATAAGTTGTAAGGGAACATTCAATCCTATATTTAAAAGTATTAGGAATAGTGGAATTCTTCTGCTGCTCTATATCTCAGAGGGACTATATCTAAAATTGCTCCATTAAGAATATTTTCCCTGTTAATTTTTTGTTATCCTTGTCCTGTACTATTTTCCCTTTCCTGATTTCCACTGAATGACAAAATGTTCTTCTAATGATTTAAAAGTTATTCATTCTTCCGTTGTCCTTGTAGCAGTTACATTGAACTTAATAATCAAATGTATATTTATTTAAATGTTTTTGCTTAACATATCACTACCTGTATCTTCCCTGTAATAACCAAACAAATATTGGTGTGACTCTCAAGTTCCTTTGTTTTTATAAACCTCTTCTCTTTTTTTATATTGTCTCAAATTTTGACCATTAGTTTTTATGAATCTCCTTTCTCTTTTTAATTTTCTTTGCTTTTAGCATTCTTTTGAGAGTGATAAATTTAATTAAGTTACTTGATCATTATTATTTTCAATATCCCTTATAGCATCTCCAACTTTGTTTCTGTTGTTATAAGTCTTTTCAGTGTAGGTGTTTGTGAGCAAACCTTCTGAGGCCTTACCTAACTACATATATCTTTACTACCACCTCACATTTATAAGACATACTCAACATTGTACTGGAGATTTTAGTCAATACCATAAGGTTCCAGCCATAATAAGAAATAAAAGACAGTAAAATTGTCATGAAAGAAGCACAATTATTTTTATTTGCACACAACATGAGTATCTATGTTGAACATCTAGTATCTGCAAAAAATTAAGTGAGTTTAGCAAAGGTGCAGGATGCAAGATTCATATACAAAAATGAATTATGCAGCTACGTGTTGCTTAATGACAAGGATTCGTTTTGGAAAAAAGCATTGTTAGGTAATTTTGTTGTTGTGGAAATACCATAAAGTATACTTATAAAAGCTACAAATAGTACAGGCTACTATCTACCTAGGCTGCACCTGCAGGGTGTAGCCATTGCTTATACACCACAAGCCTACTGTACAGCATCTTACTATACTGACTGCTGTAGACAATTGTAGTGTAATGGCAGATGTTTATGTAGCTAACCATATCTAAACATGAAAAATTACAGTAAAAACATGGTATAAAAGACTTTTTTAAAGTTACACCTATACAGAGTACTTAACATGAACAGAGTTTGTAAGACTGGAAGTTGCTCTGGGTGAGTCAGTGAGTGGTAAGTGAATATTAAAACTAAGGACATGACTGAACACTACTGTAGACTTAGGCTATACTAAATTTATTTTTAAAGAACTCTTTCTTTAATAATAAATTAACCTTAGGTTACAGTAATGTTTCCAATATATAAACATTTTAATGTTTTTTAACTTTTACCCTTGTAGTAACAGCTTAAAATGCAAATACATTTTATAGCTGCACAAAAAAATTTGTTTCTTTCTATTCTTCTGTAATTTTTCTATTTTTATAATTTCACTTTAAAAATTTTTAAACCTCCAAATGGGGAGTTAGTGATGCATAGAAACAGGGACAGTGGTAGTCACATCAGCCCAGTTTTCAGAGATGACAGTGTGTCGATAATAGTATCTGATTACCAATAGAAGGCACAGTACATGCTGCAGAGTCCAAATTCTGACTTCGTAACTTTCATTTGCTCCTATATATTTTTAAAACCTGATTCCTAGTGTTCATCTGTGATTCTACAAGCTAAAATTGTCATTTCATTGTTTTTTTCTGCTTAAGGCTTAAGTTAGCCAGTGTTGGTTTCTGGTGTTCATAGTAAAAATACTAATGCAAAAACCTAATGAATGAAATTATGACCACTGCATTTTAGTATATGGAGGACATTGATAACTTCAGTAAGAAACCGTTTAGATTAATGGGGACATAAATGGAGCTGGACAGCCTGAGGAGACAGTGGATGGTGAAAAATATCAAGATATTCAGATATTCAGATCACTCAATGTAAAGGCTTAGTTCTAAAGGAGAAAGTAAAAGTAAAACAATTGCCAGAGAATAAACTTAAGAGAGAAAGTTATTTTCAAGTGAGAGAAACCTGAGCACATTTAAGTCCTCATTAGAAAGCACTAGTAGATATGGAGAGGATAAGGCCCTAATCAAGGGAGGCAGCGTCTGAGCACGAATTACTTAACACCTCATGCACATTTTACCTCCATTTCTAAGGTACTATACTTTTAACTGGGGACTATTTTTTAAAAGCAGATTCTGAGCTACATGTTCCTTTATATATGACCAGTACAGAAAGGTCATTGAACTTGGTGATGAAAAAAACTGACATGAATTATAGTAATGTAAATAATACAGCACTATTACCTCCCAGGGCCATGAAGTTGAGGGCATCTAGTGTTGCCATTAGAAAGGAATTAGCTAGGGATCAGGAGTGTGGCTCAAGAGGTGCAGCTCAGCACCAGGCCCTGAGTTCAAACCACAGAACCCAAAAAAAAGAAGGAAGGAAGGATGAAAGGAGAGGAGGAGGGGAACAGAGGAGAGAGGGAGGGAAGGAGGAAGGAATTGGATATCAGATCATAGTCATCAGCTATTAATTTTTAACTTTTCACAGAATTAATTAGAAGCTTTTACAAGCATACTTAGGATATCAGGATAGCACAAGTGTTGAAGTGTTTGTATCCCTCAAAAAAAAAAAAAAAGGTTGAAAGAGAGAAGAATAAAAAGGATTCCCTTGAGGACTCTCCTTTCCAACTCCAAGATTTGCATGTTTTTATTATTTGTAAATATGAAAATATTTTCTCTAAATGTCTTTGCTCTCTGTAGAATATTTAGTATGAAGTTAAGATTATAATGCTTTATAAAGAATTTGTCCAATAGAATGTTAAAATGAAGTGAAATGTTCAATGGCCAACTTATCATTAGGGAAAGTAATTTATAAGAAAATTACTTCTAAAAACCTACATTAAAGTAAAACTACTGTTTTTTACTAGCAAAAACTACTAAAGAGAAAATAATACCATCTCTAAAGACCAGCAAGTTTCCTGGAATATTTTCAGCCAAAAATAAGAACATCTTTCCGGATTTTTTTGTTGTTTATTTTTTTAAAAAAATCATGACACCATGGTGTTTCTTGGCTTACCTTTAAAGACTGCTGGGTTTATCCACTGAGAAAAATATTTATTCTGGGATTTTTAGCATTATGCAACTGCTTGATTTTCCTAAACAATGTTCTTTCTTTCTTTCTTATTTTCTTCTTCTCCTTTTTTTGGATGTGGCCAAGGAATTAAAGAATTCCTGGCATATTCACTGTGCAGTTTCAATGTTTTTTTAGGTCATGTGACTATGACTGAAGGACAGT